GGAAGGAAGGAAGGAAGGAAGAAAGGAAAGAAAGAAAATAGTGCCAAGAGAAAAAGTTGTGCTCCATTTGTGTAAAAAAAGAAAGAAAAAAAACAGTGCCAAGAGAAACGCCCATTTCCAGGTGACTCAGCACTGTTGATAAGGAGAATTCCGTGCCTGTCATGGAATGTACTAGTTCAAAAGCCTTGAATTCAAATCCCAGCTGCCCGGAGGTAGAAGATGTGGGTGCAAACTGATAAGTCCCAACTAAGCTGTTTTGCTCACAAACTTAATCCCTTTGATGTTTATACCTATATAATAAACACAGAGACTCTTGCTCTTTGTTAAGCCAGACTCCACCAGAGCTGGTGAACCCACCATATCCTGCTTCCACTTATAATTGAGTCCTTGTCTTTATTTTTATAATTTCAAATTTTCCTAATCTGACCCACACCTGTGTTTTGAGAACTGTTCACTCGCTGTGCAGGTCACTGTGAAACATATCCCCTCCTTGTCACAGCAAAAAAGATTAACACATTATTTTTTAATTTCCCAGAGTGAAAGTTGGGCAGTTGCAGAGGAGTCACAGCCCACTAAGATCCCTTAGAACACCCTTTCCCTGAATGAATGGCAAAGACCTGTTTGGCCTTTTGCCTGGTCAGTTATCATCTGTTGTGGCTGAAGCTGGAGGACAATGTCTCCCTGAGGTCCCCCTGGATAATGCCAGGTGTTAATCCCATGGCTGCCTCTGTTCTTGACTGCCCACCTGTTATCCTCACCCACTGCATGAACCATAACCAACTACAGTGAACCATTAGATTATCCAATTACTTTTCTTCTCAGAGGCGTCCTCCCTCCCTCAACCCAACATCACTCTGCACCCACTTTATTCCTATAGCAAAGGCCCCTTGGCCTCTTATGTCCCAGCCTGCTAACCACCAGTAGTACATCAGATGAAGGAATCCTATATTCACCTTCCTTGCTTCAAAGAGTCACTTATGGTTCCTTCCCATCTTCTGTTTGAAAACGATCGCCAGCATTACCATCATTTGGGTTCCCCAGGTGGGAAACAGAAATCCTCCTGTTCCTCTGCTGCAGTCCCATATCTTGCCAACCTCTGTTCTAAGACTTCTGTGGCCACCACCCCCGACTTGGGCACTAGTGCGGCAGCATCTGGCCTGATCTAGCTCTTTCCCTATACAGGCTACTCAATACACAGCAGCCAAGTAATCACTTAAAAATGTAAATCAGATCCTACCTCTCTGCTCAGAACCTTTTAATGGTTCCCAGAACATTTAGAATCAAATCCAAATCATGGTATGTATGGAAGGCTAAATAAGCTGCACCAAGCCATTATCTCAACATGCACCAGCACCGAGATTTCTATTCTAGGACTCCATCTCACTTCTGCCTCAGACCTTGGTTTTAGCTGTCTTGACCCCTATCTTTGCTCAGGTCTTCACATGATTATCCTCATTTTGTCTAGCCACTTATATTTAATCTGCTTAAGCTGCAATAACAAAATACTAGACTGGGTGGCTTATAAGCAACAGATATCTATTTCTCACAGTCTGTAAGCCAGAAATCCAAGATGAAGGCAGATTCAGTGCCTGGAGAGAACCTGTTCTGGTTCATAGGTGAGGCCTTGCATGGTAGAAGGGGATAAGGTAACTCTCTGGAGCCTCTTTCAAAAGAGCATTGGGTATGGTGGTACACACCTGTTATAACAGCTGCTTAGGGAGGTTGAGGCAGGAGGATTGCAAGTTCAAAGCCAGCCTCACAAACTTAGCAAGACCTTGTCTCAGAATACAATATAAAACAGGCTGGGGATGTGACTTAGAAGTCAAGTGCCCCTGGGTTCAATCCCTGGTTATCCCCACCTCCAAAGCACTATTCACAGGCATGATGGCTCTACCTTAACACTAATCACTCCCCCAAAGCCCACCTCCTAGTACCATCACACTGGCAATTAGGTTTCAACATATAAAATTGGGGGAAACCACTACACAGCTTAGAATCTGCTTTCCTAGAGGTCTTTTTTGACCCCATCACTCTGTTTCACTCTCATGTTGGCTGGCCTTCTACCTCCACTACCAGATAAGCTTGAAGAAAAGCGGGACACTGTCTTACTCAAAGATGTACCCCCACTGCCTGGCAGATATTCAGTACATACTTTTGCATAAAATTCTGCCAGGAGACAGCTAGATTTGAACAATATACAAGTATCACATTTCCAACCTCAATCTGATGTTTTTAACCTTTAGATGATCTGATGATCTAACAGAGCCTCTTAAACCAAGGTGACTGAATAATTTAAGCTGCAATCCTTGGTAATAGTTGTATTTTACAAAGGGATGGACTAGGGCTGGCATTAACGGAGTATGTAGAACTGGGCTCAATGTGTTAAATGTTACTGTGCTTAAATCCAACACCTCTCAAAGTAGTGTGACTAGCGCTTCTCTGACAGCCAAGGACCCTAAGGGTAAGATTCTGAGGAAGAAGTGTTAGGACCTTCTGGGATATGGGCTGGGCTTCTGGCCTTCATAGTTCTTTCCTCCCCTCTCTGCCTTGAGTTAAGCTGCAACACCCTCATCCCTACACCTCCAATCAAACTGCTATTTAAATGACCAGATGAAATGATGGCAGTAAGTCAGGCCACATGTCAGCTGCCAGTGATGTCAATGAGGGCTCAGACACACAACTGTGCTTCCACATCAGACTTGGAGAGTGTGTTCAGTGGGTTCAGGGAGAATTTGTGCATGCACTTCCAATTCCCCTTTCTAAGGCTGGATGCCCTTCTGAAGACTCACAATAAAACAGGGCATAGAAATATTTCAGAAATGCCTCACATCCACTTGGTGGAATGCCAGGCTCTGGGCCCAATTCTACCATTATCTAGGCCCTGCTGTGTAATTCTGGACACCTTAGTTGATCTTTGACACCTGCAAAAGAGTTAGTGTGGCCATAGAAGGAAAAGTGCTGCTACTATTACACCACAATGGAGAGAATATGGTTCTTACCAGCTGTTTTGCTCTGGACATGGGTACCTTCATGTTTTCTACACAGAATGCTGCCTTAGCAATCAAGGGGGATGTGATGCTGGCAACATGGATTGTCAGTGATGAAGCTGTCACTTACCCTAGTTCCCTACTGGGGTAATCCAATAAATATATATTTTTTTAACTCAATGGAGAAACCTCACCTAAGCAAAACACTGGCTTGCAGCAGCCTGGTCTGTAAGATGCAGAAATGCTGCAAATGTCTTGTGGGTAGGGGGTCCCAGGAAGGAGATACTGTTCTCTTTCCCTACTGAAGCAAAACAGAAACAATACACAAGGACAGTTTTACTCCTATTACTGTCTTGTTAGCCTGGATGCTGTCCATATAATCTGCTTATTTAAACAGTGTACACTTTGACTCTCCCATGTTCTAGCTTCACAAAGAGAAATCAGCAGGCAGGCCTAGCACCATTTGTACCTCTTAATTTGATGTCCAGCAGCTTGCCAAGAACAAAAATATACATTATTCAATATTTACATCAGGGCTTAAATCACATTGCCCATTCTGCACTTAAATGCACTGCATTATTTTACAGGAAAACCGGCAAGGAGAATGCTAACCGGATTAAAGTGAAGCTGTTTTAAGTAAGATCCCTCTTTTTGTTGGTGCTTTAAATTCCTGTAGGAGAAAACTGTGGCCTAATGATACCAAACATAGTTTAATTGTTGGAGAAAGGGTAATTCAAAATTAATTTAAGCTCTCCCACTTATACACATTACTATTTAATAAGTTTAAACCATGTGCAAAACATAATACCAACACACTAATTTCTGCAGTGAAACCTGCACTACATAGATAGTTACTTTAGGAAACTTACATACTTTGCACGTGAGTTTCTGCCTTCTTCCCTCTTACTGGCCTGGGAAACCTCTCAAAGTGTGCCGTCTATAAAACGCACAAAAAGTTACACATATAATTTTGACTACAACACCCTCACCCACTCCTCTCCTTGTGTTTCATGAACACCGCAAAGGCCTAATATACCAACCCCTCTGGCTGAATACCAACTGATCCCAGAGAAGTGCTTTTTCCCAGGAGAGCTGCACACAAGTGCAAGAAATGCTTGGAGAAGAAAGCGGACCTTGTGCATCATGGGCAAGAAATTTCTAAAAGTGAACCAAGTTAACCGTGTTCTTGGCCAATAATAAAAGTCTAGAAAAGGTCTTAAGTTTTATCATAGAATTTTCTTTGTGTACTGTAATTATAACTCTCCACCAAAGAGGAAAGAAGTGTTTAAAGCCCCAAGGAAGCTTATTGCAACTCTCAAAAATCACGCCTTTTTCTGGCCAGAGCGTCCTACCGCGCTTTGATCCCACGTGCCCAGACCTCTGAGGATCTGGGGCCCAAAGAATCTAAGCTCTTAACTTTCCAGATTGCAAACGAAGCAGTTTCAAGTCAGAGGCCTCCAAAGCAAGAGCGGCCCTAGGGAAAAGACGCCTTTAGTGTACTTAAAAGTTAAGTTTGTAAGAAAAGCCGAAAGCTTGCAAAAGAGCAGGTACGCAGCTCTCCCACGTGGGCCGAGGACAGTGAGCGGAGTCAAGAAAGCGGAAGCGCGAATCCCTCAAGGCATGGGGCGACAGTCGCAGCAGCTGCAGGCGCCTGGCCACATGGGGGAAATGGCCAGCTCCAGCCAGCACACTTCATGAGAAGGGAGTGGTGCCTGAGAAGGGCAGCAGCGCAGGCGAAACCTAAGGCCACCCACTGCCCCTCTAAAAATGACTTGCCACCGCCCTGCAGGGTGCGGTGCAGACAAGCCCCAAGGTTGGGGAGGGGAATGCAGCTAAGCCCGAAGGTTGGAGGCGAGAAGGTGTGCACCCCTGCCAGAGGGCCGCGCCCCAGCCCGTCCCCGCCGCGGCACCGCTGCACTGGCAGAGCGCACAGACTAGAGGTGCGGTTCCCTGGAGCGGAGGGAGAGGCTACCGGGCAAGGCGGACCAAAGCCGCCGGGCAGGCTGATCTCACCTTCACCGCAGTGGTAGCAGCGCCCGAGGCCATGTCTGTGCTGAGAAGAGGCTGCGATGGGCGAACGTGCAGGGCCCAGACGCGGCTGCGGGGCCAAACACACAGCGCGGGAGTGAGCACTGCGGAGTCCGGGGGTGGGCCTTGACTCCTCCTCTTCCTCCCTGGGACAGCTGGATTGGCTGCGCCCGTGGGCTCTCCCCCGCCACCCCCCTCCTCAAATCAAGGTTCCCGCGTCCCGCCCCTTTTGCAGACCTTTCCGGTTTTCCGGTTTTCTTTTCTTTATCTCCCGCTGTAACGGGTTCCTGATAGTGGTAGTAACGGAAAGCCTGATGGGAAACTTCTATTGTTCCAGACTCTCTGCTTTGTACTTTAATTAGCTCCTTAACTTTCACCAGAACCCTATAAGAAGAGCAGTACTCCCAGGTCGGCCCAGTACAGATGCCTTTACGGCCCCGGCAGCGTTCCAGAAGTTCTCGCGGGAGGGAGAATCCTCCGGAGGAGGGAACTAGCTTGCTGAGATTGCCTCCCGCGCTGATGTGGGGCTGGGACGGGCCGGGGGCGTGGTCTGCTCTTATTGCCGTGTTAATCCAGCCCTTCAATTCCTGGGGGATTGACCCACACCTCAGGGATGACCAAAGATTGAGTAACATGCTATTGATTTACAAATTATGATTTATTCATCTTAATTTGAAGGGAGGCTTTCAAGGGCTCCGACTGGCTCCCAGCCTGGCTCAACCATGCAAAGGCCATTTTTAACCCTATCTATGCTGAAGCGGCATCCAATACACCTAGATTCAGAATTTGGACAGCCGTTGCCTTCATTCAACACTGGCAGGACGCCACTCCCAACATCCTCACCTCCTCAACCCCCGCTGGTGAGACTTCCATTGGGATTATCTCTCACTTTCTAAGCTCCTATCCCTTACCTCCTAGGGTAATCATATATATATATATATATATATATATATATATATATATATATATATATATATATATATATAACTTCTCCTAAGCAAAACACTGGCTGGCAGCGATCTTAAGAGTGGTCTCTGAAATGCAGAAATGCTGCATATGTCTCGTGGGTAGGGGGTCCGAGAGAGGAGATACTGTTCTCTTTCCCTACTGCAGCAAAACATAGAACCAATAGAAAAGGACAGTTTTACTCAAAATATCACTGTCTTGTTAGCCTGGATGCTGTCCATATAATCTGCTTATTTAAATAGTATTATACACGTTGACTCTTCCATTATTTGCTTTAGCTCTAAGTTTTCTCACAATATTAAGTTTTCTTCTGCTACAATTATCTATTTCTTTTAGGTCATAAAATGAAATAGCAAAAGAAGTACAAGTAGATAAGGTGCTTCTTTGGAAGGACAGAAGGCTAGGAGTTCTTCATGCATGAAGAGAAAGTAGTTTTCTGGGGGCCTTTTTGAGTGTTGGAAGCCCACACTCAGGGAGAGATCATTGCAGGGCACACAGAGTGTAATGGGTTTTATGGCTGTTTCTTCAGTAGGGGATCTTGACCAGCATGTATGCTTTGACGTGACCAGTAAGGCCAGTTTCTGCTCTAAATCCCCTGCTGAAAGTTAGACACTATAAACAAGTTACACCTTGTAAGTATGAAAACATCCCTCAACAGAGAAGGAACTAAAAGCCTGGAGGGGATTTGCCTGGACTTCTGGACTTTTCTGCTGTAACTTGCAGTTCAGGCTCAAGTATTTGCTTTTGAACACGTGATGTTTGCTAAGATAAAACTCCCTAGTCTGGTCTGGTTCTCTGGGTGATAAAATTTGCAAGCCATTTCTGAGAAGAAATTAGCATTTCTAGACAAAGCTTAAGCACTTTTCTGTCTTAAGAAATCAGTTACCCATCCACCAGCTGATTGTTAGGCACTATTTTGTTCTTTGTGTATGAGGACACATAAGTTAAGAAAAAAATTAGCCCACCTCCCAAGGGGATCCCAGCAGTTTTCATCAGTGTGACTTAGGAGAACAAAGCATGCAAATACTAGAAAGCACAAGACTGGTCAACTATTGGTGATTTGAAACTACAGCAACAACTACAGAATTCTTTAAATAAAATAATTCATTTTTAGAAGAGTATGTTAAATTTTCAGAAGGTTAAACATAACAATATTCAAATATACAGTCTGCCTGTGTCAGATCTATCTAATTCATGAATAAAAGAAACAGCAAAATGACAAAGCTGATTATTCAAAGTAATAACAAACTGAAACAGTGCACAGAAAAGAGAATACTGGAATAAGACTGAAAAGTCAGAAACAAAATTGGGTTTGTACTTTACAAGTCAATAAAACTATCTTATGGAGTTCTTCCCTAGATATCCTTTGCATCTCTAACTGAGGAGGGGAACTGACATAAATTTCCTACAGGGTAATACCTCATATCACAGACTTAGAATGCTTACCAGTAAGAAACTGTAAAATAAGTTACATTCCTTAAGAAAGGGGTTGGCAAATCTTGCCTACCAAGAAGCAAACATTGAGAAGTTCAAAAGCATAGGGAATACCTAATAAAATGAACATGGCTGTAATCTAGTGCAAGTTTATGGATGCTAAAATTGAATTTCACATATGACAAAATATTATTTTTCTGATTTTTTTCCTCCAACCTTGGAGAATTAGAAAAAAACTACTTTTAGCTTGAAGCTACATACGAAAACTGATGGAGCACTGGGTTTGGCTTTTGGTTTCAGGCCCTTGTTTGCCACTGAGGGTGTGTTTGTTTGATTTTTTAACAGTATTTTGTGTTGCTCAGGCTGGACTTAAACTTGTGTTTCTCCTGCCTCAACCTCCTGAGTTGCTGGGATTACAGGTGTGCATCACTCACCTGGATACAGAGAGCATCTGAACCAGATGGTCGATGGGCATGCTTTTTGGAGAGTCTTTGGTGTGGCAATTTGAAAATTGCCCTAATTTTTGCCCTAATCTCAAGAGTTGGATCTTTATTTATTTTTCATTAATAAGCCTAGAATAAAAAGAGGGCAAAATTTCAGATATTTATATTATGGCTTGGGTATGAGGTGTCCCCCTAAAACTCCTGTGTTAATACAAAAATGATTAGATTATGATACCTGTAACCTAATCAGTCTAATCTAGATTGAATGGACTGAATGAGTGCTAACTGTAGACAAGTGGGTTGTGGCTGGAGGAGGTGGGTCCCTGGGAGCATGTCAGAGATTTAGCCAAGAAGGACTACACCTCTGAAACTTTGAGCCAAAGTAAACTTTTCCTCTTCTAATTGTGCTTGTCAGGTGTTTTGGTTGCAGCGATGCAAAGCTGACTCAAACAATCCGTGATCTCTTTTTGATTGGTATGGGGAATCTTCAGTAAGACAAGAGAAGTCTCAAAGATCTATCTGTGAAAATCATATCTTTCCCTACTGTTTGATTCTTGTCCCATAACTTTGTCTTTCTTAACCTGTAAACTTACATTCCTGAACATATTTCTAAAGAAGTCCCCAGGCCACCTCATAACAACTCTGTTTAGGAAGCTGTACAAATATTTCAGTGGCTTTCCCTTTTAAAAAATAATTTTTTACACAGGCATCTCCAACCTCCAGCTGCCAGTCAACAAGCTACTGAGATGGTGTGACCTATGGTGTCTATATCAAGTCTTGAGCAATGGTCCTTCAGTATCCCATTAAGATGTATAGAGAGTGTACAGAATATGGTATATGGAGAAAAGCTACAATAACTTACATTTTTAAACATGAATAACTTATATACTATTTTTGAAGACTTCTCTAAACTATTCCAGGATTAACACATAGTCATAAAATGTGTGAAATGTGACACCTCGCTAACCACTTTTTAGCTTTCCCACTGAATCACTGGATCCCTACTAGAGATCACTTAGATTGCACTTAATTTGGATTTATTGATGTAAAATCTTGCCTGCCCTCTACTTGCTATAGAATAATGCTGTACATTAAGAACATGTTTTGGTTGCCAGATGATATCTATCCTCAATTCCCAGAATTCTTACATCTTTTAAAGTAGGTTTTAATATTTCTATTTTAGGGTAAGCAAAGGGCAAGATAAGGCCCTAAATCTTACATCTTCCTCCATAAAGAATGGTATGTTCAATCTTCAGTAAAGAGACATGATTCCTACTCTCTGTGCTCTGTATAAAGATGGATATTATGAAACAATGTGGCCAGGGTGAAGTTAGAGACTGAAAGTGCTGAGCAGTGCACCTTTTCCAGGTTCTGGGGTTCAAGGTGATAGAAGAGTAGCCAGTTCTAGAGGTAATGGCAAGATATAAGAAGGGAACAGCTATATTAAGCAGACAATCAGAATAGGGGGGAAGGTTCCTGTGTATTACCCACCTCCATACAGTCTTGTGGGACCGTGGCTGGTAGGGCTTGGGATGAGGGGAAGACCATAACCCGGGATCTGATTTCTGAGGTTGAAAGTTGGAGGTCGGAGGTTGGTAAATCAAAGCTACAAGGCTATCGGAGAAGGGTAGGGCCAGATGACAGAGACCCCACAATAGCATTAGTTGTTATAGAGATCATGGAAGCAAACCCACCTGGAATTGACAGGGAGAGATCAGGGGAATGCCACTCTTTATCACAGTCCCGTGTTAAAGTGAATGGAAGAATATCAACCTCTCCGAGAGAGATGGAGAGGGAGATGATAGACTAGATTCCACTAAAGGGCAGAAGATGAAAAAGGTGACCCAGAATGAGGATAGGGTTGCAGAGGAGCTTGTTACTAGTCAAACACTTTGTGATGAATTTCTGAAGAACAGTTCCTTGTAAATTGGAGTGGGAAGAGGAAAGAGTGTAGGGAAAATGGAAGGGAAGCATCTTATTTTCCTTGATGTACTTGTTTATTTTAATTGACAAATAATAATTTTACATATTTATGGAGAAAATGTGATACTATGATATAAATATGTATGTTCATTGTATAATGATTAAATGAAGCTAATAGCAATATCTATCACCTCACATCTTGTCAGTTTCTTTTAATGCTAATACCATACTGTTTTGATTACTATAGATTTGTAGTATATTTTAAAGTCAGGTAATGTGATGCTCCAAGCTTTGTTCTTGCTTAAGATTTTTTTTTTTTGGCTATTCAAGGTATTTTATGATTCTATATAAATTTTAGGAATATTTTTCTGCTTCTGTGAAGAATGACATTAGTATTTTGTAAGGG